CTCTTCTCTTCTCTTCTCTTCTCTTCTCTTCTCTTCTCTTCTCTTCTTCCTCCATGGCAGGGACATGCAATATTGACACCCCCAAACTGTCTCAGGCAAGGGTGCTACATTCTGCCAAACCCTGTTTTGTGACAAAAAAATTGTTCAAGACAGATACAAGGGGGGAAATAGCAGAAATAGCTCAGGCAATGACAGAGGGGGAAATATAAAAAGACAGATCTTTTCAAGAAAGATCTATAGCAATAGCACTCAGGCTTATATACCGCTTCACAGTGCTATTACAGCAGTTTACAGACTCAGCCTCTTGCCCCCTACAATCTGGGTCCTCATTTTACCAACCTCAGAAGGACAGAAGGCTGAGTCAACCTGGAGCCTGGTGAGATTTGAACTGCCAAATTGCAGGCAACCAGCCATCAGCAGTTGTGACTTGCAGTACTGCATTCTAAGCACTGTGCCACCACAGCTCATCTATAAGTAGAAAGTAGGGGGGAAACTTCATAAGAACATAATTTGTCCACAATTTGAATTTAGTTTAGAGTTCGAAAACCATTCCCTAGAAGAGAATATTAGAAACTATCCCTCCCTATCTATCTTCATTCATGTAACTGAGAATCATCTCCAGGGATCTCCAACCTTGACCACTTTAAGACTTGTGGACTTCAACTCCCAGAATTCCCCAGCCAGCCTGGCTGGCTGGGGAATTCTGGGAGTTGAAATCCACGAGTCTTAAAGTAGCCAAGGTTGGAGACCCCTGATCTACAGTAACTGGCAGGAGTGGTCATTCCCATTCTGGCTTGGTTTGAATTTGGGCGCCATCCTTGGATTAGGAGTCTTAGAGGCCTCTTAAGATTCCAGACCATTGGAATGAACCCTTTACTCTTCTCCTGCCTTAACTGTAGGTGAAAGGTCTTCCAGCAGGGAGCATGACATGGTTTCCTAACTTCCCTTTCAATGAAAAATATGTACGCAAGAGCATTCTGGTGGATGTGAGCAAAAGTGTGGGAGATTGCCAATTGCCGTGATTGACAAGCAGGAGGCCAAAGAGCCCTTCACTGGATGGTTTCCCACACGTGACATGCTGCTGCTGATTTAGCTAGTGTACCTAAGAGCAACGCCTATACTTGTGGAAGTCCACTTTATACAGTTTGGATAATCCAAGAGAATGCAGAAAGCTGAGATCTCTCAGATGGGCGCATAGAAGATCCCCTTCAGTGGGACAGCAAGAAGGAAAAACATGGTTGCCAGAGCCACGTCTACAAGAACCTGAACCTGAAAAAGCCATCCTGTGGTCTGGGTGTGGAGACTTCCTTTCAAGTGACACCAGAACCGCCGTAAACCTAAACTTGCATTTCTTGGGCATGGGGTTGACTCTGAGATCAGCCTTTTGGAGAAGGGGATTTGTCACTTGGGTGGGTCTCAAAATGCTCACATCTGCAGCAGTAGTGGGA